GGGGGGTAGGTCCCAGGAGCATGGCAGGGGAGGCGGTGTGGCCAAGACGTTGGTTCCTCTGCTTGCCCCTCTGGGCATCGCTTGGCCTTTGAGGTCCCTCCTTGTGCCTGAGGTGTCCCCAGCAGGTGCTCAATAAATACTTGTGGATTGTCAAAATCTCCTTGCAAGTAGAGTGTTTACTGTCGCTCATTTTACAGATGAGAGAACCAAAGCCACCAGTACAGGCCTCTCTGGCACCATGCCAGGCACTGGGGGTGACCTGCTTTCTGGGTGACCACAGGACCTTGGAGGAGCAGCAAGCCTGGGGCAGGTGGGGGTGGTGCCAGCAGGGATGGAGTTGGCAGAGGGAGGGCTGGCAGGGCACCAACTCCAGGTGGCCAGAGAGGCTGAAAGGCAAGGGTAGAGGGGCGCCCCCATGATCCTGGCCCCAAAATGGTTTCAGGCAGCCCCTTTGTTCATGGGCAGGCACTGAGGTAGTAATCAGCAGACAGGGATGCTCACGGTCCCTGGGCTGTGTCATCAGCCACATTTTATGGGAGGAGAGACTGAGGCCTCAGGCTCCCAGCAGGGAGGGTGGAGAAACCAAGCTTCCTTGTAGCCCCCAGGAGAAAGCTGGTTAGTGAAGGGAGGGAGGGGCCAGCCCTGCCCAGTACCCTCAACCATCGCCTCACTGACCCAGCTCCCCCTGACTCAATGCCACCTGTTATTTCCCCTGAGTGTCCTTGAAGATACAGTGAAAGAGGAAGGCAGGAGGGTCAGAGAGAGATTTGAAGATGCTAAGCTGCTGCTTTGAAGATGGAGGAAGCCAAGGACAGGAATTCTCCCCTGGAGCCTCCAGACGGGACTGGCCTTGTGAACATCTGGACTTTCATCCAGTGAGACTGATCCCAAGACATCTGCCTGCAGAACTGTGAGATAGTGTGTGTTGTTCTAAGGAACCGAGTTGGTGAAAATATGTGGCAGCAGCCAGAGAAAACTACAGATTGCCAACCTTGCTCCTGCCTGATCGGGTCCCCTCCCTGTGGGGCTGGGCTGTGTGTGACATTGGCACAGAGGTAGGGGTAAGAACTGGATCGTGAAGACACTCCCTTGGATGTCCTGCTATTCCCACTCTGGCTTTCTACCTGGAAGCAGCAGCTGGCATCAAAAGGAACTCCGCTGACTACCTAGATCAGGGTGGTTGGCTGCCAGCTGGGTGAGCCCAGGGTGACCACAGGCATTCCTGGGCTGCCCCTTGGTCACCTGCAATGCTGTCACTCCCCAGAAAACTCTTTGGCACTCACTGTGTGCAAGGTGCTGAGGGCACATTATAAACAAACCAAACAGGAGCGGTCAGCCCCATAGAAGTCACATTGGAAAATGCTGGGTGCCCACCACAACATATAGCAACCGAACCCTGCGCTAAGTGAGGCAGGATGGGGGCTCCCAGACCTGGGGGGTGGAGCAGATGACTCATGTTCAGCTTATGCAGAGGGTGGCTGCCATCTACTCTGCTCTGACTAAGCCAGGAAGGCTTCTGAAAGGACAGGAACCCAAGAGCTGCCCTTCCTGGAGGTGACTGTCCAGAGGGAGGGCTGAGGCTTCACCTGGGGGCCCAACAGGGATGCCAGGAAAGGTGTGTTAATTGGCCCAGAAAATGAGCGGAGATGGGGGTGATGGGGGATCCAGTGGCCAGGGAGGTCCAAGAGCAACCCCCCCCCAAATCAGGTGACACTTTCTGACCCAGAGGGCAACCCTGGCCTCTTTGAGTTTGGCTGACACAGTGGCCTCACGGCATATCAGGAGGATCCCAGAAACCCATAGGGGAAGTCGAGGCCTCCATGGCAATTTGGTAGTCAGCATCCAGGTGAAAGTCGGTCTTGTTTTTTTGGAGAGAGGAAGGGAGAGAGCGAGAGAAACATGGATTTATTGTTCCACTTACTTATGCATTCATTAGATGATTCTGGCATGTGTCCTGACTGGGGATCGAACCCACAACCTTGGTGTATCAGGAGGATATTCTAACCAGCTGTGCTACCTGGCCAGGGCTGGGAGAGCCAGCCTTTGAGGCTCAGGCCCCATTTGTCCCTCCTCGGTCCTGGCCCCAGCCAGGTGTGCAGGGCTGCAGCCACGGACCAGCGTGGAGTCAGCGGGATCCCACCTGGCCCAGCCTGCAGGCAGCAGAGTAGAAAACCAGCCACCACCGGGGCGGGGGCAGCCGCGCAATGGCCCAGTCAGCCGGTGTCCCAGGGACAGCGGCCCGGGCGGAGCTGACCTTCAGAGCCTGCAGCCCGTGGTGCCCGGCGGATGCTCCCCCGGGGCTCTGATGACTGACTGGGGTGCGCTCAGCGGGACCCTTCTGAAGATCCGGGTGGGGGTGCCCCAAGCAGGGCCCCTGCGGAAGGCGGTCAGGGAGGCTCCGCAGCTGGACTCCCACGAGGGATGCGGGTGGGGACTCCCAGGGCACCCCCAGGGGAGCGCTTCCCAGGGGGTCTCCGCAGGGGAGTCGGGGCACCCTCAGCGGGTGCCGGCAGCGGTGTCCCCAGGGGTTGCTTCTTGAGGGGTGCTGGTCTCAACAGGCCTCCCTCCTGTGCCTCGGGGATGGTGGCGCGTGGTCCGGGCAGAGCCGCCAGGACGACACCGGGGCCCGGGCGCCGGAGGCTGGGCCCGCAGCAGAGAAGCTGTTACCGCGGCCCCCGCGCCCGCCTCCT